TTTTTTTTGTTTGTTTGTTTATTTGCTTTTATTTGTTTTTTATATAAAAGGGAATAATAGATACAACAATAAAACATAATTTAAAAGCAGGTTAGTAGGAAAGTTAAAATCATTAATACACTGCATATTTTGGTCTTCATAGTAGTTATTCAGGGTACAAGATATAAGCATGCCATCTTATCCAAAGAGCATTAGCACAAGCTTTTATTTTTAGTGAACTAAGAGAATCTAGCTATGTAATTATCTTATCTTAACCATCTTGTACATTAATATATTCTGACATTTTCTTTTTCTTCCAATTTGTGTTTCCTAGGGACATAAGTAGAGCCCCCACACTTAAAAGAATGTGAAGGGTAAGAACAATGAGAACAATCACCTACTGCAATCAGTCACAGCACCCATGTGTTACTTTGCCCCATCCATAACAGCTGCATTTATAGTCTCGCAATTATAAAGAAATCAAGATCTTGATCCCATTCCTGAAGTGAGATGTTGCATAGCATTGGAAAGTAATGCTATTGACCTAAATTCTTGAAATATCCTATGCTTTGCTGAGCTGTTATGTAAATGCTATTTCTTGTGTTTGTTTTGTATTACCATTTTAGAGCTGAGCATAGCTAGATGACGAAGAGCCAAATAATATGACTCAGTTAGACAAACTAGACAAGCAAAGAATCTTTGAAATTTCATATTGTCTTTAAAAATTCAAATACTACTATATTTGAGTTAATTATTGCTTATAAGTATAACTATATTAGATGTATATGAAATACATATAATATTTTTCTAAAGTGAGTGAGAAGTTCTTTCATGGCTTTTACTAAATAATTTTCTTTGAATAAACAAAACCTTTACAGCATTGAATTTTTCTTCCTACTCAGATCTGTTTCAATTCTGATGTATACTTATTGAACAAATGTTTTATCATTAGTTTACACTAAATAAAGTGATACTTATGTTTCATATCTTTCACCATTTCCTCTATTTCCTCATATTTTTACTTTAAATTGATACAGAAATATTATGTATATTTATCATGTATGATTTGCTACATATACAAGGTGTGAAGGTCTAATGAAGTAGATTAATTCCTTGGTTCAGGAGTGCTTTTATTTTCAACCAATTCAACTTGCAAATAAAAGTGTTAGGAAAAAGTTTGTTTCCATTTGATTTGCAAACTGCATGAAGTTGCATATGTAACAACAACCATCCTTCTGCCAAAAATACAAACGGCCATCTCCTACAAAATTATACAACAAATTGATTTCCTGAAGCAACTTGTCACTGGCATAGCAATCAGCTCCATTGCTCATCATTGTAAGGTGTTGGAATCATTCAAAATTATCTTTTCTAGGTTTCTAAAATGTACAGCTAGTTGTTATGAGCTGTGGTCATTTGCTGTGGTATGGAAAAGAGAACTGCATCCATGCTCCTAATGTAAGTATTTTTGTGCCTGTTAACAAAACTTTCCTACCCTTCCTTTCTCAGGTCTTCTAGCCGCCATTCTGTCCACTACTTGTATGAGATTAACATTCTTTTTCTTCATAGTGAATGAAAATATTTTATTTTGTTTCTGGGCCTGATATATTTTGTTTTGTAGCTACATTCATGCCACTAAGAATTACATAATTTTAATTTTATATTTAA